GGGCCATAATAATCATATACAGTGTATATTGACAAAATAAAAATTAAAAAAAAAAAAACAACAGATCAATCAAAAACTCAAATTCTAAACACAAAATGCAGTCCTCTGACCTCAGTATATTTTTTCCTTAAGACAACAGCAAATTACACTTTATTGTAGCCTATATTGATTTACATATCTACACTTACGTAAATACTAAAAAAATGTAACATGTAGCTACATAGCTGTGTGCTCAGTTCTATGATCTATATAATTTTAAGATAAAGAAGCTTGACAAGAGAAGCACATAAAAGGCAATGGAAGATATAATTAGGTAACACCAAAGTCCAGAACATTTTTATCAGAAATCAAATATTACAAAGGAGCTGCCCAATAATGAAGAACCAAAGATTTAACATTTACTTATCTGGACAAGTAAATTCATTTCTTTTATCAGAAAGATGATGTAATCATCACTGCAAGGAATAACAATTAATACCAGTTGACAGAAAATGTTTCCAGGCCAAAGACCTTCAGCTTTTGTGAGAGCATTTTCTGAGGGTCACATTTATTAATTCACCAAACATTAGCTGAAGACTTACTATGTGTGAGGCACTATAGAGGGCACTAGGGGAGATACAAAGAATATGGAAAGATGTTGCTTTTGAGGATCTTATAGTCTAGGATGCTGCCCAGACAAGAAAATTAAGAGTGCAATGAGGCACGTGCTACAACAGACATACACGGTGCTATGGAACAATCTGATGAAGTGGCTCAACAGTTTAGGGAGCCAGGGAGGCTTCATAGAGGTCTGGGTTGAGCTGGCTCTTTAAAGATAAGAGATGTCACTGGAGCAGCAGAACACAAAGATGACACCAAGATGGGAGGAGAGTGTTTTTAGGAAACAAAGAGAAATTTTTAGTGCAGCGCGTGGAATTTAGTGGAGGAATGGAGATTAAGTAAGAGAAATAGGATAGTTATTAGTGTGAAATTCACTGCTCTCATGAGGATGGGAACCCAATTCAGGTTTAGCATACAGGTCAGTAATGTTTTAAGAATAATATATTAAGATTTCAAGTCTCCATTTCCAAAGAAGGGGTGGTGGTAAAGTGTTGTATAAATAGTTAAACCAGAATTGCCTAGCAAAATCAGACTTGCTCCTAGATAGAATTAGCAGTAGTGTGTGCATCAAAAGTTGAGCCAGAATTGCTGGCAGGCAATGAAAGCCTACCTTATTATCCTCTTAAGATGATCATGTCATGGTCTTTTTAAAAATTTTCTACTCTTTCCTTCAGGGTACCAGATTCCATACAAAAAAACTGGCCAAACAGGAAACCACCGTTTTATCACTCTGGGCTTTTTCTCTCCTCCGTGTCTACCTAAGTGATTTGCTGATAGGGGACACCCAATAAGCTTTGATATTGAATAAAAGACTGGAGTAGCTGTCAGGAACTTTTTACCAAGACAAGGGATTGTAAACCTTTAGTGCGCTTGCATAGCACCTTAAGGGATTTCTAAAGCTATTAAACAACACATCCACTGAAACCTCACAAATGTTTTCTTTCTTCGCTTGAACGGGAGGTATGAGCACAAATGGCCAGGAAGCCCAAGAGATATAGGGAGCCCAGGCCTTCAAACTGTCTGATCTTGGGCTTTCAAGTCTCCACCTGGGAAACATCATCCTGTCAGAGGAAAAAGAAGTGAACTGAACATCAAGTCCCGGCTGAGTTTCTTATAAGGTGGACAGAGGAAGCTGTGTCACTGACTGATCCTCAAGGTCCTTCTTCGAAGTGAAAATTAAAAACCACCCCCGCCCTGTTAATCTTCTACACTGTTTCAAGGAACAAAGTCATTTCATTAAAAACCACCATGCAGTAGTGAATGCTAAAAGCTTGGTTCAGCGAATATAGGTTTGCAAGCGTCACATAAATAACTAGCGTGACTCAGAGGAACTGAGTTCCAGTCCCAGCAACTCTACCAGGGGCTGACTGTGCCACCCTGGAAAAAACCACTGCAGCCTCTTAGGACCAGAACCATGACACATCTCACCGCGCGTTCATGAGCCTTCCGTGTGAAAACGCTTTGTCGACGCCAATTTCGTATTTACTCTGATTCCCTTGACATACTTCGCTTGGCTCGTCCTCGTGGTTTGGGGCCCTAGAAGCGCTGGGTGGTAAAGGAGGGAAAGAGGGAGACCCTGCAGGGGACGGGGACAGTGGCTTCCCCAGCGCTCAGGAGAAGTCGGGAGGGCGCGGAAGAGCCGGCCCGGCCAGGGAGGGAGACGCCGCGGACCCCGAACCGGGAAGGCCCCGCCACCGGGTCCTGCTCCCCCGCCTCACCTGCATGTTGGGCACGAAGCCCTTCTTAATCCTCCAGCAGTTTTTATTGATCTTTTCCAAGAACTGCAGCTCATCATTATAACTGCGACTCATGGCGGCGACAACGGTGGCGAAAACTCCCGGGTCCGCTGTGAAGAGCAGCCGCCGCGTTGTCCCGTTTATCGGAGTCCCGCCTTTTAGGGCTTAACGCGCAGGCGCGGCCGGCTCCGCGGCGGGGCGGGCGACGGCAAGCGCAGAGGTTCGAAACTCTTCGCGCCAATCTCGTTAAGTTAGACTGCCCTCTAGTGTTTATCTTTTCGGATCTCTATTAGTCGATCTCTAGGCTACAGCCAAACTACATCCAGTAGTTTTTAGTACGATCTAGTTATCTTTCGTTTTGGAAGTGCTTTTAGCAGCTCGTGAAAACACCTTGAATCTAGGTCAGGTCCAACTGCTCTAGAGGACATCTACATCAGCTTGGCGTTTACCTACCCAGCAGTGAAGAAAAAGATATGCCTGCAGCTAAGATAAACGTGTTTGAATAAATAGCACACCTGAAAATTTGTAATGTTTCAGAATGAATTTGTGAGTACACATCAAATAACTTTTCTGTCGGAAAAGAGCATCCCAAAGAATGAAACATGACAGTTGATCATTTATTCTAGCCACACTTATGGGGCATCTATTACGGCCAAACATGTTACAAAGACCAGTAAATTGCAGTCACTGTGGATGGCTGGGCCTTCCCATTTTTTGATGATTAAGTCCTCTGTGATCATGCTTTTATACACAATGTCTCTTGTTCACAGTGATGAGTGAGATTTCAGTGATTTCAGTTTCTAGTCCTGCTTTGTGTAAAATACAGCAACTTTGCAATCAGAGAGACTTGGATGCTATTTCTATCTGTGCCATTTACTAGCTTTGTGTGATTAATCCCTCTTAACCTCTGTTTCCTCATCTATAAAATAGGACCATAATCGTTCATAGAGTGGTTGTGAAGATGAAATGAAATGACACTCGGGGGGTAATTGGCACGGGGCTCGGCACATGGTAAGCACTATGTAAGCAGTTCTTTCATCTTCCCTCTAGACTGTAAGCACTGCGAAAGCAAAGTTTGTGGTTACTATTCAATTCTTACATAATCACACTGGTTCCCCTTTCCTCCTCCTTTGCCCCAATTTCACCCCATTGATCAGGTGCTTTAATGACATTAATATCATTATCAACTATGAATTGTTTAGGTTTAGTACTCTGCATTGCCATTTCAATGAATCTGTGTGTGTTGGGGAACATCCTCAGCCTTAAAGAAATGATACAACTTCCAGAGTTTCCTCTGGTCACCCTGCTTCTCAATGGAAAGATTTGAGGCAAAGAACTCCTTTTTTAAATCAAGGCTTGACATCTGCACAATCTCAGTTTTCGTCAATGTTAAAGAAACTAAATTCTCTTCTCTTAAAAAAATCCAGAGCAGGAAGTTTCTCAAATAAAAAAAAAAGATTGACATTTATAGAAAACAATTTTAATTAAAGACAGGGAACAGTAACAGTGAATATAAAACATAAAATTCAATACACAGGCAAGGAAAAAACCAAGTAGAGAGCCGAAGGGATCTCCACTGATAACAATTAATACAAATATGGTCAGAAGTACATGCCTAGCTCTTGTCCCCAGCATCTTATAAACACAGGCACACACAACATGCATCTACTCACATCCAAATATCCACCCCTCCACATACAGAGGTGCACATACCCGTACTCAGCCCTTTATCCCAGTCTGCCTCATTTCAGGTTTGTGAAAGAAAACTTTCTGCCTAAGCAATTCACAAGGGCTTTAAAATTCCAGTGTGCACTGTCTTCCCCCTATGGGTTTCCAGTAGCTGTGGGATTAAGGGCCATTTACTTCCTAGGGTAGATTGCAAACAGGCAATCAAGGCTTCCCTGGCTTCCCCCTCCAATGTCCACTTATCAGGTTCAGACCTTCCCAGCCATGGAAACTTGGCTGTTGCTTTAAGGATGTTTCATACTTCAGGTCGGTAGAAATCAAAAGGAAACCCTGAAAAGGAGGCAACGACGAAGATAATGTCAAACTTTGGGCACATCTGGCTTTGCCTGGGGATTGAGGGAGAGATGGTTTCTTTATCAGGCCCCACTGTTTCAAGTCCTCCTCTACCCTGTCCCTATTTGTGACAGCCCCAGACATAGGAACAGGCCATTTTGGACTACTGTCACCTGATGTGACTTAAGCAATTGTAGAAGGTTGGGGAGGGAGGCAGGGAGGTAAAAGGGAGTGTGAGGTCCTGTTTAGGACTGGAGAACTCCTTCAGAAACTTATTTCCACCTCTCCAAACAAAACAATGCCAAAAAGGAGTGGGGGAGGAAGGTATTCTGAAGTTAGTTAATAATGATTGACTAGGAAACAGCTCTCAGATCTCTGAACCCAGCAGAGGATGTTTAGTTTAGGGGAAAGTCGACTGACTGAGAGAATCAGAAGAGCCAGTCTGGTTCTAGCCATGCCCTTTCCAGCTATATGAGCCACTTCACCTCTCTGATCTTACTTTCCTCACCTGTAAAATGGGACTAATAATACCAGCCTTACAGTGTGTCTTATGGAGTGAATAAAATAAAGGATGTTACAGAGCATTTTTTGTACTGTGGAGTGAATACATTTGGCTGCTAAGTGAAATTGGACTTAGTCTAATTTTTAAACTCAAGCTTAAATGCTTTTTATTGTTAATTGCAAGCTTTAAGAAAATTAAAATAAAATTTTAATTTTATAAAATTGTTTATAAAATTCCTCGGGCTGGGAAAAAACAAAGCAGAACAAAATAAAACAAAAAAAGGTAAGACAGGAGGAGACTTACCTCAAGAACTTCAATGTCTGAATTGACGAATGAGATATTGTGTGTGTTGGGCAGAGAAAATCCTTGCTGCAATTTTGCTAAAATATAGAACAAGATGTACAACAATTGGGCACAGGCACAGAAGTTTTGGCAAACTTTTTAATAAGAGACTAACAAGCAGCTTTTTAACAATTTATCTTTTCATCCTTCTGGTTCCATATTTTCATTCTCTCTGATATGTTCCTAGCATTTGCCTGGAAGAATTGTTAAGTAATCTGTGTTCAGTAAAAATGCATCTGCAATTATGTGCATTTGGGCAGTGGAAAAATGCTGTCCGTTTTCAACTTGCCCAATTTGTATTTGGAAATACCTAATTAGTGGGTCCTGAGAACATTTTGGTGTCTAATATAAAAAATATTTTATCCATGCCAAACTGCAGATGCTGTAGTTTGTGAACAACTGCAGTGCAGGGAGGAGGCCCAGGACTGTCATTCATTAAAACTGTGTCTGTTCAGATAGTGGTCCTTGCATATGAACCACATAGCTACTCCCTAGGGAAAATATTCTCATTTCTTTTTGACTCAAAGGAGACTTTACTGCCTAAGGAGAATTATTTCAAAGTCCTAACCTCAACCAGAGTTAGCCATTCTTGCTGAGTTTGCAAATAGAGTTGCTGAAAAGGTTTGGATGGAATAAATAATTTGCAACCACATCGTTGATGGTATAAACTTTGTAAATTCTGGCTTTGGCCTGGATTCATAATAACACTCTAGAAGTACAGGCTTCAGGGTGGAAAGCCCCAAACAATCCCCAGCATTTAGTCAATATCAGAGTCACGTCATTTCCCACGAATCCCTTACCATTGGCCAGTGGGAGGACTCCAAAGTGAAGAATGGAGGACAGAATATTCTCAAATCTCAAGACCTAAAATGAAAGAGGAAACAGTTTAGGACATGCACTTTCCCAGAACTTATCAGGACAGAAAGCAATAATTAGAATATCCCTATAGGGATATACTAGCTTTGTGGGAAACCGTATGATAGGGTTTCCTAACTTCTCCCCCCTTGAGGATGGACACTTCAGCTTCCCTCTACACCAGATCTTCGTAATAGCAAATGCAGAGGGACCACACAGTGGCAGCAAATGTGGCAGCTTAGATATCCACCAATTAAGACAATCAAGAACAACTAGTAGATTTCCCAATCGGCAGGCTTCCCTTTATGTTTTGGGAACTTCAGCCACAGGAGTTCCTTTGCATTATATTTTGTGCTGAAGTTAACTGTGTCACCAGAACATCCAACTTATCTTTAATAAACTGTAGTAGTAGTATAACCTAAACAAAGTGTTTGTTCCTGGGCAGATTCAGATGTTAAAAATAAGTGGGCTATGATAAACATCAATTCATTCAGTTAATCCTTCTTGAGCATCCTATTTGCTTAGCAATAATAAGAGTGGCTAACAGGAGCCTAACAAGAGTGGCTCTGAAGCCAGATCTTCTAGGTTTCCATCGTGTTTTACCACGTACTAATTGTGTAATGTTTAGAAAGTGACTTAACCTTTCGGTGCCTCAGTTTTCTCAATTGTAAAATGAAGATAATACGACTAATCTCATAGGATTAAACAAGTTAATATTATGTAAAATGCCTGGTATCTATGAGGGTACTCCAAAGGGTTCATGAAAAGATTCAGATCGTCTTTTTATTCTAGTTTTCCACAAACTTTTTGAAGTACCCTTGTACCATGGTCATGTTTTCAGAAATGTCATGGTTGCACGTTCTGCTGTTGATACTAAGCAGTTTAGCTGGGTCTTCCTGGAAGGCTTGGACTCAATTTGCCTCCTCTCTGGACTCAGGAAATACTATTTATGTGAGAGTCAGCTATGCGTTCTCATTGCCTACAGTCTATCACCTACCAAACAACTGTAACACAGGAGGGCTAACCAACAGTGCATGAGATAATACTGGTATTTTAGATCTCGATGTCTTGCATGCAAGGTATGACTTATTTTCCAGCTTATTGACACTATTGCTTCCTAACCTGAAAATCAGGATGCTCCTCTAAAATTAAACAAACAAACATACATACAGACATCTCGTATGGCCTCCGGGCTAAATTATCTGACTTCTTGGCTATTTTCCCCAGATCTATTCCTATCTTATAGCTGTTCCTGTTGAACATGGTAATACTTAAATTCAGTCCTTACCAAGTCCCAGGCACAGCCTTCTGAGAGGTTAAGTGACTTGTCCAAGGCCACACAGCCAGTGGTGGTTCACTCTTGTAGCTTGGCCTCAGAGTTTATGTGTGCAATTATTATGCTATACTGTCCCTCAAGATAGGGGTGGCAATAACTGAAGTAATTGTTATAAATATAAAAACAATGGCCATTGTTTATTTAATACTTACCATGGGGCCAACGTGCTCAGTAAATTTCATATATAATCTCAGCTAATCCTCTCGATAACTCCAAGGTTGTAATCCCAACCTCCATACCTACTCATCCTGACTATTCTGATTTATTTTTCTCTATAGTATTTTTTAGCACATAACAATACATATTTGTTTGTATGTTGTATGCCACCTTTACCCTGTCACACACACATGTGCACACTCACATGTACTCTAGAACAGGGTTTCCCAACAGTGGCACTACTGACATTTTGGAATGGATAATTCTTTATTGTGGGGGGCTATCTTGTGCACTGTGGAATGTTTAGCAGCACCTCTGGCCTCTACCCATTAAGTGCCTATAGCATCCCCTCTGCCACTCCAGGACATGACAACCAAAAATGTCTTCAGACATTGCCAAATGTTTCTGGGGGCCTAAACTGACCTTAGGTGAGAAACATTGTTCTAGAATATAAGTGCCATAAGGATAGGGACTTTATCTGTTTTGTCTAGAATAATAATGAAGCAGTGATTTGGCTGATCTTTCTGAAGCATGGAGAAAGAGAGTTTCCAAGTCACATGCTGGGGTGTCCTCTTCCAAGCAGGAAGTCACCAAGTTGGGCCCTTTCCCCCACCCCCAGCCATCCTTGACCTACTTTTAGGAGGTAGGTAGAAAGTGTGCAAAGAGCAAATCTAATCATGGTTTACTAATTTACATATAGCCTCTTCCTTTGGGATTCTGGACTATCAGTTTACTTCTAGAGGATTATTTTACGGAGCAAATTAAGTCTCCCCAAGAATGCCTATTTTTCAGCATTTACATGTCTTAACAGTCTTTTGAGTTCTTTTAAAAGTCTTTCTGCATAAACAAAAGTAAATTAGAGAATTCCTCCCTTGTTTAATGGTTAATGGGCTCACTAGATAAGTAGCTACATGCAGAATTTTGAAGTTACAACTTGCAGTCATGGAAAACAATCTACAGGCATAGAAAACAATCGTCCCACTACTATATGGAAGATTTCTTATTCTTCTGTCAGAAGGAACCCTGAAAACTCTGATTCCTACCTCAATATTGCTGCGATTGGACTCTGGCAAAGAGAGGCGGAATCTAAAGGAAACAAGAAAAGTTAAAGGAGGGATAGATTTAAAAACAAGGTTAGTAGAAAGAACAAAAAAACAGAGGGTTTTTTTTTTTTTTTGGTTCAAAAAGTCACTATTTAAAAAAAACACACACAAACAACCTTGGGAAGACATAGAGTTCTATTACATCTTTTACCCCTACATTTTACTGCTTAAAAATAGAGCAGGACAAGCAGAAGGCTTGGATTTGTAACCAGGGTGGGTTTCCCAAGTGCATTCGCTATTTGGGACTTACTGCTGTCAACATGGAATGCAGAACAATCTTAAGAAACAGTTCTCAGGTCTTCTGGCTCTGAACTTAACTGGGTCACATCCCTGAGCCTGTTATAGTCCCAGACTACTTGACTGTAAATCCTATGCTCAGTCTAGGCTACCCTCCTCAGAAGGCTGTATTATCCGGACCATTTTTTCAGCTGTGCTATCATAGCACATATGGGAAACATTAGCTAAGAGAACTGTCAGATGTGAAAGGTAGTGCAGTATAATTGTTAGCAGAATGCCTGAGTTCGAATCCCATTTCTACCTCTTACTAACTCTGTAGACTTATCTAATCTCTCTGGATCTTTCTTTTCTCGACTATAAAATATAAATAAGAATAGTATCTGCCTAATGGGCCACAGTGAAAATTGAATGAGATAATGCAAATAAAATGCTTAGAACTGTGCCTAGCATATCCTTACCACTCTAAAAATGTTAGTCATTTTTATTACAAGGAGAAATGCTAACATCTAGGCCAGAATATAATGTCCTTGATATTCTTTGTCAAATACCAACAGAGGGCCGGCCCGTGGCTCGCTCAGGAGAGTGTGGTGCTGATAACACCAACTCAAGGGTTGAGATCCCCTTACCGGTCATCTTTAAAAAAAACCGAAAAAAAACAAACAAATACCAACAGAGCACTTGCTGTAGGTCCAGGTAGCAGGGAGTCCTCCCACCCCTTCAGCTTGGCAAGGGGGGTGACAGTGTGTCCTCATGCTTGATATTTTATGGGGATTTTCATAACAGAGCTAAAGGCCAACATTCCCACTTTCCCAATTTTGCCAAGGGCTGATTGATAGGCAGTTCTCCCACTATGCATGCTTGATTGTCTATGCAATAGTAATTGGAAATGGTACTCAATAGGGAGGACCCTTTTATTTTACAGGTGGGGAAACTGAAGTCTAAAGAGGGGAAATATTATTGGTAGATTTGGGAATGCCACTCAGATCTCTCGAGGTCCATCCTAGAGCTCCCTTCCATTGAAGGGTGTTGCCTCATCTGGCTTTCTCCTTTAGCCTTCTGTGGCTCATCTTTGCCCAGGTTTAGAGACTTACTTCTGCTTCAGCCTTCTTCTTCTTCTTTTTTTCCCCCCACATTTTAAGGACATATCGGGTTTGTCAGACATGGTTGCAGAGGCAGCGGAGTGAGGCGTGAGAGCAAGAGGAACGGGGGCTGCGCAGTGGCCATCGCTGAGTCCCAGCCTTCTAATGAATCTCCCTGTCTCTAGTCTTGATCCTGTCCAACCCACTTTCCACAGCATCCCCTGAGGAGCTCTATTACGGGTACGTCTGATGAGGACACCCTCCTGATTAAAGTTCTTTAATGGCTTGCGATAAAGTCCAAGTAACTTATGAGTATATGGCATAGGAGGCTTCCTGTACCCGCTCCCAGCTGTCCCTTTACCTTTATCTCTTCATTCTCTACCTTGAACTTTATCCTAAGTAATCCCGACCTGTTCAGTGCTATGCTGCTTTATTTATTAGGCTGTATAGACCTTTGGTAAAAAAAAAAATGTATTGGCTTCAAAACACATACCAAAAATTCTGAAAAATTACAATTAATAAATATCTACAAAAAGTAACACGATGGCCACCAGTCGTTCAACTCAATCCCGCTCATAGATATAAATTATATTTAAACTGGAGTGCATTTGAATACATGCAATATATTATGGGCTGGAGTCCCCAAATATCAGAGCGGCTAAGGCTAAAGAAGATCTTAAACAGCTGAGAGGTATTTCCTTGCACAGTCCTGATATTTCAGGGCTCTGTGCCCTAGCTCATGCTGTTCCCTCTTTCTGGACTTGCCCTTTTCCTCTCTCTTTGACTGATTAACTCCTTTTAATCGCTCAATATTTAATTCAGGTGTTACCTCTTCCAAGAATATTTCTATTACTACATTTAAAGAGCAGATATTAATTTTTTTTAAAAGCAGATATTCACAAGAAGAGGCACTTTTGCTTGTTATCAGCTGATATCATGTTAGTATGAATTAGGCTTTGAGATTGCTTTAAAGTGACAACTAAGAATAAAAACCAGAAAGACAGTTACGTTTGGCAAAAATCAGAGATGACGTCAGTGACACCGAGGCCCAAATTGATCTCAGTGGAAAGTAAGGACCGGGATCCACAGGGCATCTTAGAAGGCACCAGTGAGGAGCTGTGAGGGGGAATGCCTCCCCCTGCTCACACCGACTCTGATGAAGGGCGAACCTATTCCAGCTTAGAAATTCAGCCTGCATAACGGTGGAACACACCTGTGAGTTTCCTTTCTTTTCTTTCATCACAAGCCCAAGCTATGCTTGGCCACCTCAGGACGGCCTGCTATGGGTGAGCTTGCCTGGGGTTTCCCACGAGCCAGACTCTCCTTTCCTCTTATGGCCATCTTACTTCTGATTCTTTTCTAGTTCTCCTAGTTCCTTACACTTACCAGGTTTACTAACGGACAATTTTCACTAACTGCAGAGAAACAGGTGGAGCAAGGAGCAAACGCTCCCTGCCCCTAGTCTGAAAAACACAAAAGTTCAACTTAGGCCCCTAGGGGCACAACACTTCAGTCCTTTGAGACTCCATCCTCTACCAGGCCCCTCACCTGTTATTTAAAGCCCTGTTACTAGGAATGAATTTTTACTACAGAACCATAGAGCCATTGTGGAGAAAAGGAGCTCAAATAGTCCTACCTAGCAGACATATAAAAGTACAACCTATTTTAAAATTTTTAGAGAAGGTTTATTGTTCTGATTGAAAAACCAAGCTAAAGTGCAAACTCTTAAGCATGGCAAAAGGCTCATCACGATGTGGGTCAGTATAATAAATATGACATTATGAAGATCAAGTGTCAAGTGTCACAGCACAAAGTCATTCTTCCAACCCTGTGTCCATGGCAGACACTGAAAATCAGTCCCAATACTCGATACCCTATGAACTCCTGTGTATGTTTTTGCCCTGTGACTATGAATTCCTTGAGGGTGGAGATACAGTCTCAATTTTCTTTGTGTTCCTAGGATTGAGTACAGATCTTGGCCCATTTAGGCACTTAGTGTTCATTCATTTATTGATTAATTCATCCGGCAGATATTATTGAACACCTAATAGGGATCAGTACTGGGAGGTACTATTGTGAACAAAACCAGACGCAGCCACTATTCTCACGTAGCTTCCAGCCTAGCGGGGAGGCACACATTGATCAAACAATCCCACTGGTTAGGGTTTAATTAAAAATTGAGATAAATGCTCTGAAGGAAAGAAATAAGTTCATCGAGTCCAATGACAAAGGAATTTGACCTAAGATGTAGATGTAGGAAGGTTTCCAAAAAGGGGTCCTTGAGTTGAAATATGGAGGATGAGTAGATGAGTAGGATTCAGAAGGCAAAATGGGAAGGGACAGGGTCCAGGCAGAAGTTATAAAAGTCCCGTGGAAGGTACGAGAGCTGGGGGAAAGAATAGCGAGATGCTGCTGGGGAGGTGGATGGAGGCTGACCAGGCTGAGTGTCTCAGGCCATGTTAGGATTTTGATCTTTATCCTAAGAGCAAGGAACCCCATGTAGGTTTTAAAGAAGAGAGATGATGTCTATGTTTTGTAAAGATCACTCTGGCTGCAGTATGGGTAAAAGACTGGCAGGCCAAGAGGTTCCCCAGGTGCTTATTCTATGCTCAGTAATGTGCTAGGCAATGTGAAGAATTTCATTTATATCTGTCATTATGTGGGAGGGAGAGAAGTCGTATGTGCAGGAAGCAACGAGAGAACAATACAAAGCAGTGTGCATTCAGGTGCTCCTTTGTGGGTGTACAAAACACACAGACTTGCTGCAGGAATTCTGAAAAGGTGTGAAGAGGTGAAGAAACCAGCATGGGCTAGAGGTGAGTGTGTGTGTGTGTGTGTGTGTGTGTGTGTGTGTCTGATATGGGGGATGTCTTGTGGGAAAAATAAATTGCTCCTTGAGAGAAGCACTCTGTACACATCTCCAGAATGTCCTTAGCACCCAGCATTGTAATTGCCTGTTAATCCAGTGTTTCTCCCACCAGACTGTAGGCCTGGATGGTAGGAACCACTGTCTTCTCTACTCTCTGTATTAAGAACAGTGCAGGGCCCATTATAGGTACTCAATAAATTCTTACTGAAAGGATGCACAAATAAATGAACAGAAAAGGAGATGGGTGGATGAGTGTTTGTTGGAATTGGGGTCACTCTGAGGGTGAGCCAGTCTAAAACAGTATGTTCATTTTAGGGAGCTGTGGCAGACGAGGTTGGCTGACTTAAGAGATAGGACTGGTTGATGAAGTGCTTGCAAACACCAGGCTGTGGATTTCATCCAACAATGAAAGGTTTTGAGTGGAGAAATATGTCAAAGCCATTCCACTATTAAAGAACTGTCTTGATGAGTAAGAGCTTCCCCAGGTTTTAACTCCATTGCCTCCTGCAGCCGGGAAATTCTGGGAGAAGGATCCAATTGGGGTTTCCTCCTCTGACGGGGGCCACCCCACTGTGGCATTCTTCTGCTCTGGCTCCAATAGTAGCTCAAAGAAAGGGTTGGGATGGGGTCATCCCAGGTGCTGAGTTTGAGATTCACTGACCTGTTTAAAGTATCATTCCAACAGAAACTAAATCCATTCTGCCTGGACCTGTTTTCTTTTCTAGGTTTCTCTCCAGATGGCTCATGCTGGGAAATGTTTATCTGCCCAAGCTGTGAGGAGTGGAGTTAGGTAGTGAT